GTGGCTGATCTGTGAGAGTCCGGATGTTGTGGTCGCACTACACGGTATGTAGCTTCTCCGGAACGACAAAATGTGTGGGGATGCGACAGTGAGCATTTGTTACAACACACACCTTCGCTGTGAACACCTGCGTACCCAAAACGCGTCACTGATTTCCTTTTGTGGAATGTGGTCATGTCCGCAGTTTACCGACCACCAAAATCCACTCCGAAGATGAACCACTGGTTAATATTTGCACTGTGTCTTGTGACAAATCAGAAACACCTCCATATCCTCATTACTGGCGAGTTCAACAACCATGATTTGTAAATTCCAGCAACCGACGCGGAACACATTATGGCTTATTTACAAGAGCTAATCTCTAGCACACCCCTATACAACCGCGTCACCACTCCCACCAGGTTCAGAACAGTGAATACGCCATCCATGTTAGATCCAGTGCCCAACAGCCAGGTGCTCATGGTTGATGGGCTAAACGTATGCAGTCCTATGCGTCGAAGAGACCACGTGACTTTACTGTTCGATTAGATTTGCTACGCCGAATACTCCGGTGCAGGGTTCGAAAGGATGCAACTTAGTACAGATTACCGCGTATTGTCCACATTCGTTGAAAACGCTAGTTGGACATTCATGACAGCGTGCACCCTAGAGGTAGCATTGTAAGCATCACTAAAAGGTTTCACGTCACTGATCTCGAAAGCATCAGAACCTAAAGATCTTCACCCTCGTCTCAAACCTAACTCATTTTTGAGCAGCTGAACGCGGATAGTTATGGCCTTGTGGCATCGAAAATGACGCGTTTACAAAACCAATCCCAGCTCATAAAATTGAACAGCGTACGTAATTCAACGCAACTAGTGTGTGCACTTGGTTAGTGATGACAAGCTGACACGCCAGCAGGAATCAGCAAAACGAAAATAAAACACAACGATTCTGTTCCAACCAAAACTTCTCTTGCACTGATCAATAGACTTGGTAAGTTGCAGCGCGAAATCCAACTAGTAACAGCGAGAGGAGGCCGAAGTCTCAAGGGCCCAGTACTCACCTACTTTGTCAAAGGAACAAGGCTCGGACTCTAATCACTCCACCATCGGCTTTGATCAGCATCACATTCACAGCAGAAGTAGTGCTGAACAAGCTGCTGTCCTTGCGTTCAGACGGCTCTTCTGGAATGGTTATCATTCACTCGAATTTACTGCAGTTAGCAGCCATGCAATTAGACGGACCACTAGCTTGAGACTTTCAGCGTTGTCTAGACAAGAACATAGTTCTCTCAAAGCGAAAATACGGAAACGAGTAGGCATAATGACGTGATTGTACAGTTGAACACTGGTTATAAGCTCTTGCAGATCGGCTTTGAATTTTTCTCCGGTTATGGCAGGGGTTTCTAAACAATGTACTTTGAAATCATTCATGATAACGATGTGTGTGTGCGCTTTCGATTTAGACTGCATCTTAAAGCTGTCCGAAGGTGGCAGCCCATTCGAGAGTAGAGTTGGGAGATGGTACACCGAAGCTTTAAGCAGGTGTCTCTGTTGTATGTGTCCTTGCACTAAATCTCGGCGAAGAGTAAATATGTGGTCGATGCAACCACGGTCAGGGAGGAAGCAGCCTGGATTTCAATGGTTCGGTCCTCACGCGGACCAGTAAGTCATCGCAACACTATGCCTGTGAGACGTTTTGAGGCAACACCGAGTATGTTACTGATGACATTCCACTGGTTGGGATCGTCTAACTGCTTGCCTCTGATTGACATCGACCCTGCTTCTGGGACACTGGAACATGGTGCAGTCAGGACCGTTTTTGTTCGTTAGTATCTTTCAATATGCCACTGGCTGTGGTTGACATGCTCGATTATGTACTGAAGGAATCCCGTTGGTTCATGCGTCCGAACTGCCGGGCTGGGGTCCGAAGGACGATGAACACGTTTGATTGGACACACTTGTTGATAAGGCGAAGAACCAGCCCCATTGGTGTTCGTTTTATGAGTTTCTTTGTCCATCCCCCTCACCATTAGTTCCCCCCTCCAATCACGACCTCATATCTAAGATGTGGTATAATATTCGACGTTATATTTATTGTTTTTTGAACTTTTCGTGCCGTGTACTTTTTGTATTTCGGCACATTAGCTGAGGTGTATTTCTCGTCCTTAGCTAACGTGTATTGATGATGATGAGGACGCAGGAATACAGTGGTACATGGAAGAACTCCGCTTCGCTCCTTAGTTTTCAATCCAGTGTGGGGGTGCAGCAGACTTTAAATGTCGGTTTTCTTTGCAACAACCGCAACCTAACTTTCACTCTTAACGTCAGTGAAATCCGCAAGGAAGCTCTCTGGCCAACGCCAATTTGTCTATGCACGATATCCAGCTGTTTGTGGAGTATTTGTTGGCAAGGTCTAGACGCCTTGACTCTGAATGTTTGCCTGCAGAATTTACATTTCACACTAGGTCCGCTTCTCTGTGTTCTATTATTCTTCGTTCCGTAGGTCAACATGGTTGTACGGCGGCGAAGCATCAGTTCAAATGGCTGATGTACGACCCTTGTTGCTGTTGCCACTAGTGTTTATAACAATGTTAATGATGATGGCAGAAATTTCTCTAGTCCAACGCGCCTAACTAAACCCTGTAAAATGACGTTTATGTTCCATTTATACTCGATTGGATCTAGGCTTTCGTTCATCACAATATGGGTGGTGTACGGGTCGGTCACAGTTGACACGTGGTATTCATCGACATATAAAATGCTGCCACACCAGCACTCAAGGGTTGTATTCTAAGCTCCCTGAAGTGCGCGACTGACATGAAACAACATGGGACATCGTAGCAGTGACTGAAACTTGACTCTCAAACTACATACTACATCCAAAGATTGAATTCAATTAGATCTCCTTCGTTCGAACTGACCGTCTATCTCGCGTTGGTGTGTTGCCGTTTACTATCGAGATTACGCTAAATTTTAGGCCCTTACCGAACATTTCCTTGTTATTCCTGACGCATGTTTTGTCGACGGCAGTTAGCAGCTCAAGATGGTGGATCACAGAAGAAGACTCGGGATTCTTGCCTCTTAGCGCTTATCTACAGGCCGCCGAACTCCTCCGCGGACAGTGATAACATTCTGTTAAAAGCACCCCACTATGCAGTTCCAAAAAGCGCTCTCATCACTTTATAATGGGCGGTTTCAACGTACCCTCAATTGTCTCATTGTCCCCTAATGTGCCATCCTTTAAATCGAAACTCCTTGAATTCATGGATATGACAGTTTGTATAACCATGTGCATCGACCAACTAGACACCGTGGTTCAAACAATCCATGGTTACTGGATCAAATCCTGACAAACGAAGTGTTGATGGTTGAGTAAGTAGCACAGGGTCCTCCACTATGCACTAACGACCATTCAGTCCTAACATTTGGTCATGTGTTATACCAGTATGGTTGATAAAGAACGCGAAACCTAACGAACTATTATTCACTATTCCAAACCTTACAACCTAGCGACAGCCGTTGACTGGGGCCTATAGCCTCACAGTTCGGCGAACGACGCATGGTTAAAACGAGATATTCGCCACTTGGAGCAGGTTCAAAGAAGAGCCACCAAGACAACACGTGGACTATCCTGTCTCAGTTACGAACAGCGCCCTCGTTTATTCGGTGTGTTCACCTCAGAATACCGACAGCTTCGCGGAGATCTCGTTCTCACTTACCGGATACTAACTGAAACTGAGCACACATGTACCTTACTGCTGACCATAGCCCCTTACAAACAATGTCGAGGCTATCACCTGAAAATAGTAATGCAACACTCTCGTTTGGATTGTGGAAAGCATTTTTATTCTCTTAGAATCTGTTCCCACTAGAATGCACTACCAACACTTACGGTGAACGCATCAGACATCGCGCCATTCGAAAGTGATGCGTTGGGTAATATGTAGTGGGAGTCAAAGTGGAAGGATCATTGTGCGGGGCGAACATCTCACAGATTGGGACAGTCTGAATTCTCCTACAGTGACTTAACTGAGAGTTGAGTGTATATCTGCTGTTTCATAAAGTTCTAGAATGATATACTGAGAACAAGAACATCTTATTGATATGCTGCCGAGCAAATTGGCATCATGGCGAGGGACCACTTCATACAGCGACGCAGACGATGGCACATACTCAGCCTCCAGTGTACATAGACATATTCAGCTCTTCCGTCACCAAATCGGTCTCGAGCAGCTCGCTTAGCACTTTACGCTGTGATATTCGTCGTACTGACCCTACTATTGCATTGTCTTGGCGTGGCACTCCACCAACAGTGCCCAATCGAATTCATAATCTTTAATTGCCGATAATAGTTACGACAAATCAGTGAGAGCATTCATTGTTCTTTTTCCGTGGTGTTACTCCCTAAGAATGTGAACTATGGACTCGGGGCACCACTGCTGTGTTATGGAAATATAAACATATTTGGGTTTGATGATTCTCAGCGGGAACCCAAAATGCGCAAACTCCACATAGACAGCTTTTTTGAAATGAACTTTCTTATGCACCTGCCTCACTTTAACTTTACGTAACACAGAGGTTCCGCCTTATGTTCCCCGCTGACATCCTACACCGCCCATCATCTGAACGCAACTGAGTACAAAACGTTGGCTTTTTTAAAAAAACAAGTGGGCTCTCAAATGACACAAATCAGTGACTATGGAAGTTTCGTAGCAGACTTCAAATTTAGCTCCATTGCTCCTCTATTGTGCTTGTTGAGTATTCACCAAAGTTTTGATTCCGTACGCTGCTCACTCAGTTCACCGTTTCCTATTTACTGCCGTTTTAATGGGAGGTGTTGGTCACTGGTTCTAATAACCAAGGTCACTGGAACCTACGATCTTTGTTTTATACATGTAGTAAGTTGACACTAGACTGTCTAGTTCATCAAGGAGCATCGTCATTACTGAGTTCCATCTACTGTCCCTCGCCATATTGGTTGTCTTAATTACTTTCCGCTCTTCTTCCTTACTCTAGGTCCCCAGTGTGCTGGCTGCGTGGATATGCCGAATTATGAGAGTGTCGTGAGCAGTTTTTGTACATCAGATATCGGTAAGACCTACTTTTTATTATTCATGACATTTGGACGGTGTACTGCTTGATCAGATGGTCAGTGTATCGCCCACCATCCTATTGTTCATGCACGAAAACCAGAACTGGGACAATAACTCTGACTTTAGTCCACATTCCGACTTCTCTACAGGAAAAAACCCACAATGAGGAGGAAACTGATTGCCCAGTGTAGTGCTGTGACAGAACTGTAGTCAACACTAACTTGCCACAAACAAAATCTTTGTCAAGTCAGGTGAAGAATCTGCAGTATGCATAAGTTAACTAACTGGAGTTCGCTACAACCTAAATCACTGTCCGAACTGTGATCATCTGTCACAATCCGTTCACACATGGTGTTTACCCACCTAGCCTTGTTGGTCCACAATCTCATGCACTGAAGCGCTTTATTCATGTTGGGTGACAATCACGGTAGACTTAGTAGCCAGCAACAGAGTAAATTAGTTGTCCCATAGCTGAACAAAATGGACTTGGCTAATTTAACTGGTAACTCCCAAACGGGTGATCAACTGCTATATTCCAGTAGACATTTGACCTACCACGGGTTAGACGTGTGATCTACCTATCTACGTGAACACCTTATCGAGATCCAACTTTATGACAGCGTTAGCCAATTGATCAAACGTTGCGAAGACGAACTGTGTAACAATTCCATAAACACCGGCATCAAATAACTGAACAAGAAGAGCATATCGTTCCCACTTGTCGTGTAACGCTCTCTGAGAATCAAAAAGGAAGACTGGGCTGCGATCAGAATCTATTTGATCAGAAGACAGTATATTATTTACGAGACAAACTACACTCCGTTAAGCGATCCCGATTCCTTCTTCATTAATTGGCTGCCGCCGGCGAATCTAGGCCTATTCATTGTTCGAGCCAATCGGTCGTGCGGGCGATTCTTGCTCACACGTGTGGGTGTTGTTGCTTCACTGGCGGCGATCGATCGGCTTTCAGGGGGTCGGCGTAAATTCTTACAGCTCGCCCGTTAGATAGGCAACCAGCATGATCATTGTTGCAGCTTACCACCACATCCCTCCTTTTTGTTCTCTTTTTGTTTTTTGGTGTTGCAGGTTCCATATTACCTACCACCTACCTACCTACCAAATATGTTTCATGATATTCACTGCAGGAGAGCTTTTGGACCAGAGCTGTGATCTGAATTGGCTTATTCTGCTCAGGCGGCTTCTCGTCAGAGTGCAGAGCATGTCCAGCACATCGCCTTTTCAGCCGTATTCGATAGTTTACCTTTCTTTCTTAACTTACAGCTGCTTTTCTTTGTTTAAAACACACTTCGTCTCCAGTTGCTGTAGATTAAGCCAGTCTAGATTCGTGTTTGTGATGCGTCTTTCACCACCATAAATGCTTTCGAAGCGGGTCCCGCAGACAATTCGTCGAAAGTGCTCAGGTTTTAAATTTACGGTGGCTCCAGAATCATATTGCGGGTGTTCCAGTGTTGCAATAATGAATCCATCCCCATCGAGGTTACAATTGTTATTTACTTAAACCGCTTGCGTTTCCTGCCTATTTTTACTCTCAGGTGTGCTAACCTCGGTCGATGGAGAGTAACGAGCGAAATGGTTTAACCGGCCTTCACAATGAGCACCAAATTTCTCCCTCTTTTTACTAACTCCGGTTATTTGTTATGATCGCAGAAATTCCAGGCGTCTAGTATCCGCATCGCATCATGGCCGACGGAGTACTTCAGCATGACTAACTGGTAGGACACGATATTCATCTAACTTTAACGGCGTCGCGAAGTCTATCCGTTACAATTTCTACATGCGCCAGTTCTCGGGTATCTACAGTCACCTGTAGTAGAGTCGGTATCGCTACAAACGGCGCTATCCAACACAAAGCTGTTCATTGCTTATCAGTTTCTTCTTTTCATCTGTCACAATGTGTAACGCCATCCGAGAATCAAAAACGAAGACTGGGCTGCGATCAGAATCTATTTGATCAGAAGACAACAATGATTGCACAATGAACAATGACTTATAACGGGTAAGAAAGCAGGTGCTTGACATGCCCCGTAGGGTGTTTAGCATGAAATAAAGATAGATCAAGGGATAATGGAGTCGTCAGTTTGGGCGATTACAGATGTAACTGCACTGTCGTATAAAGGGAGTTTGAAATGAGAATGTACGCACACAAAGCTCTAAAGGGAGTGGTTATTGATCACATAATAGGTGAGCAAAAAGTAAAAAAGATAGCAAGGACACCGCTTACTCGTATGCAACTATCTTGGGTCGACAGGATAGAGAAATCCAGTTTCTATAGTAGTAGCTTTTATCAAATTTCGTGCAAGGCGTTTGGAGTGACTCATTCTCGAG